TGGAGGCAGAATATGAGCCCGCAGCGTTTGCATCATCGCCTCTTGGAACACAAGCAGCTCATTCCTCAACTCGTTCCTCATCTCTTCTTGAAACTCCCTGAACCCATCAGTATGGGGGTCATGGTTGGGTACGCTGTTGTCTCCCGTGATTGACCGAGTGCGTAGTGGTGCCATTTCACTGCATCACGTAGTTGTACTTAGCAAACGACGACGAGTAGAACGTCATTATGTACGACATTTTGTAAAACAGTTTTCTTTTAAAATGACTATCGAAAAAAACTTTTCAGTGTGAAAACCTTAAGGGTATGAGTCATTCTTTCCCGTGGATAGAACGTTGCTCTGATACCAAAAGTTGTGACACCCGAATCTCGCATCCCGTGTACAGGATATGCCACATGGACGAATACCAATAAAACGTAATAAAACCACAAGTACGGGAATTTAAAAATCCTTTTTAATTACAAACACGCAGCGGAATAAAATCATCACACGTTTCTTGAAAACAACACTTGTCCAACACACAATTAAACACACCGTTTCCACGCAAAAACCTTATTCCACAAACCAAAACATACAAAATAGGATTATTTATCCGTACATAAATGATGTCTTCACAAAGTCGTCGTCGTCCACAGTGCGCTACTCGTGCTCCTCGGGATCTGAAAAATTCAACAATGGAGGGCTAAGCAAGAAGCTTAGTGAGCAGCTCGGGTTGAGCCCGGAGAGCCCATTCTCATGGAGAACGGTGCCAACTAATCTCTCAATACAAGAATTCCTTTTTATCCATTTAACTCTTTCTCATTTATCCTTTAATACGTTAACATTATTTCATATATTTTTCGATACCTGATAGTACTGACTCAAGTCGTCCACCGGCACTATCAGGTACCGTTCCTCTCGGTATCATCTAGTACTAACTCAATTCGTCTACCGGTACTAGACTTTACCCTGCTTCCCTATAATAGTACTGCCTCCACTTCGTCAACCGATACTATTATAGAGACGACCACTCAGATCCACCAGTACTGACTCCACGCCGTCAACCGGTACTGGCTTCACTACACATTT